CCTCAGCATGCAGGGCTCTGGTTCTAGCTCCTGGCTGTCTTCCACTGTCTCCATCCACCTGACATGATAAGCAGCCACCTGTGGGTGGGCAGAGTGGGTGGAAGGCAGCCAGGAGCTGGAGCCGGAGCCATGTATGCTGGGGCAAAAGCAGCCTAGCTGAAGCTTCCCACCTGCCCACCCAGAGCAGAGTAGCACAGGCAAGAGTGGGAGATGCAGTAAACACATGTCCCTAATTGGGCAGAACAGTCCCAGAATGGGATCATCAGGTCCCAGTCCCAGGCTGCATGACTCTGAGACAGCATTTGTCCCAGATTTGCAGTGTCATATGGAGACCAGGAAACAGCAGGATTCCCTTTACAGGCTAGCCGCATTCCAACCTGCAAGGGAATCTGAGGCTGCCAAGAGCGGGATGCAGGGGGTGCCATGTACATATGTGCACCCGCACACATAAACGTGGCCAGGAATACAGCCAGCCAGTGTGGAGAGAAGCTACCTGCAAGTAAGTGTATGGGGGGAGGTGGCATAGGGGGGCTGGAGAGGTGCAAGTTGAAACCACCATGACGAGGAAGGGAGTGGGGCAGGGGCTGGGGGCACTGTCCAGCTAGGGTGGTGCATGGGGCCAGGGCCCAGGACATAGTGTGGAATGGACTGATGGGCAGCTCATCCAGGGGCTGCAGGGTGGGAGGTGGCTCCCCGCTACTGTGTCTACCCTCAAGATGGAACATGAGGGAGGCATGTGCCCCCCCCCCAGATTTGTGTGCAGGGTAGGGGCAGATGTGGTGCACAGCTTGGGGTCCTGCTGAGGGCTCAGGGCTCCCCACCCTGCTCCCTTTCCCTCAAGAGCCCCACACTGACTGTGTGCCCTCTACCTGCCTTGTGGCAGCAAGGATAAAGGTAGCATGGAGCTGTGCCCCTTGCTGCTGCCAGGCAGGCATGGGGCACACCTGGTATGAGGCTCCTGAGGGGAGGGCAGCAGCATGAGGAGCCCCAAGCTCACAGCAGGCAGCCTGCATCTGCTACTACCCCACTCGGTTCTGCTCTGGCCATGGCATCATTTTGAAAAGGTGGTCACCCTAGTGAGAGGAGCCACTGCTGGAGGTGAGGAGAGCAAAGCAGAACCTGGCTGGCTACAGCCACATCAGAAACAGCCTTGCCAGAAACTGTGCACACTGGCCGGGGCGCGGGCCTGGGCAGCAGACCTGTTCTGCTCTCTTTGCCTCTAGCAGCAGCTCCTCCTCCTCCTCCTCCTGCTCCTGCCCTTGGTGTGCTGCTGAGGGAGGTGGGTGGGAAGTTTCATCCAGGTAGCTCCTGTCCCAGTGCACAGGGGTCCAGCTCCAGCTCCCAGCCACCTTCCACCCACTCTGCCCACCCATGGGTGGCTGCTCATCCTACCAGGCTGGCAGAGTGGATCGGAAGCAGCTAGGAGCTGGAGCCAGAGCCCTGCATACTGAGGCAGGAGCCATCTGGCTGAAGCTCCCCTTCCCCCCACTCAGAGCAGCACAGCAGAAAGAGCCACAGATAGAGGTGAGGGGAACAGATCAGCATCCAGCCAGCTGCAGCTACATCAGGAACTGCCCCACTGGAACCTGCGCACACCGGCTGGGGCCCAGGCTGGCAGGCATGGGCAGGAGTGCAGCATGGGATGCCCTGACAGGAGCAGGCAGGACTTGGCCCCATATGAATAGCTGCAAGGGCAGCCATGGGTCAGATCCAGTCAGTTGTTGGGCTGAATCCAGCCCATGGACTGTGTTTTGCCCACCACTGATGTATATGGTAAGTCATGTCCATTATATGCTCTACTTACTTCTAGGCCAGGACTCAATTTGTATCAGTTTAAGCTCTGATTTAGACACCTGGCTTTGATGATGACCCACCTGAATTGTCAGCATCCATCACAGATGAGATTCCAAAGTCCTCCCCCAACTTAAGAACCCATAATCCTTCTAGATTCAATAGAAAAAACTTTGGAGAAGCCCAAGAGCAATTCAGGGTTAGGTCCTTATGGGTCAACCCTTGAGAATGAGATTCACCCCTTTGACTTCAGCACCTAAATTTGATCTAAGTCTCATTTAGATGCCTCAAGAACCAATATGAATCCAGCGTTTGATTTGCATTGTGGGAGCTTTGTGAAGCACAAGGCTAAAGTGCTTTTGTACAACTGCATTATAATTTTCAAAGTCTTCAAGGGCTATATTCTATTTCATCCATGTCTGAAGTATAGCTGCTGGCACAATCTTGATGTACATGACTGGAATGAGGGACACCTTCTACTTCACCTGTACTATCGTACTTCTATCTGTGTAGACACATACTTTTAATGGGGAGAAAATAAGCTGCTCATGTGCCCCTAGAAAGGAATTTTACTTCCTTCTACAGGACCACAGCTCAAGGGAAATTACTTATAGATCTTCAGAGAGAGATTCTTGGTTACGCAGAATGTGTGTGTGGCTCTCCATTCATTTCAGTGAAGACCTTTTACCTTCTGCGAAGATGTATTCAGTTGCTTGGAATCTAACTCCTCTCTGACCACATTACACATACCTATCTTAGCAGGACTAAGGCCCTAAACAGATAGATGCCCTAAGCCTGGACAATAGCATAAGGATCTTCTTTCTCTTCAAAAAAAAAAAAAACCCCAAACAAACAAAACTACTGGTTGGAGTACTCACCTAGGAATGGAAAACCCAAGTTCTAGGCCTCCCTTGGTGTGGGACTTTGAATCCACACTGTCTATAACCCAGCAAGCTGGTTTAAACTCCAAGTTATTGCTGCAAGCATCTTTTACCCACCCACCCTCATCTCTAGAATTTGGCCCACTAGACAGCAAAGAGTCATGGAGCCAGAAGGAGACCAAGCAAAAAGAACTTGTCACCTAAGAGAGAAAGTAAATCCTGAGATCCTGATTTCAAGGCTCTTCCTTTATTTTGCTCAATAATTCTGTAATGTCAGAAAGTATATCGGGAGTCATGTCATTCTAAGTAATGGCACTAGTGGGTTATGTTTTAGTAGTAGAGGCAGAATCTGGCACAGTGGTATTGCATCAGTGCTGTTAGGAAGGGCTCAGATCTGATCATATGGGGTGATCGGAGACTAAACGGATCACCAATCCTTAGCAACTTCAACCTTCTATGTAAGCACCTGGATGTGTGGTAAGAGGTGTCACAGAGGAGTGATTTCAGTGTAGACAGTCAGCTGATGTTCCCTAAGGTAAGAATGCCTAGTGACAGAGGGATGGAAGAAGCAGAGTACTTTATATGTGAGTTTGCTTTTTCCAAAATCAAAATTAAACACATTGAAGTTTGCTACAACCATTCACCAGGCACTTTTTTTTTTTCTTTTCCTTAACAGCCACACCCTTCTTCCTATTAGGGATTTGGTGTCATATTTTCCAAGAGGTCTCTCTCTGCATGGGTTACTACTACAATGAGAACTGCCGATAGAAATCTTTCTGAACAGTGCAGTCTGAGCATCTACTCAAGCCCTAAGGGTAGGAAGTTTTAAGCAAGTGGAACCTGCTCTCTGCTCCCACTGCTACTTACACAGCTTTCCCAATGACTCTGTAATGCAAAATACACAAACACTGGAAGCAGGGGCTTACTTCATCTCTGCTAAGGCAGCATCCTCCTTCCTGAGACACAATCAGGCTCCCTCTTATTTATGTTCCTCCTGTCCCCAGGATGCTTGCCTTTTGGCTGCCCAGTGGCCGAGCCTGAGACCACAATTAACTGTACACTTAAATTATGGTATGACAGTATATGTTAAAACATAAGTACATGATTAAAAGAGGTCATAAGCATAACTCAGTTGTCACAGAAGGCTATAAATATATGAGTAGAAAGCATTATAGATAGATTGCTTTAATGGTCACTCAGAACTATTTACTTGTTGGTTTGTATAATTGTTTAACTATTGAGTTATTTATAGCAGCACCTATTGGTCATGTAGTTTAGCTCTTTTTAAGCCACTATATGAACAGAATTAAGGACCAATGAATCATGAAGGTCTTCAGTAGATGTTATAGCCAATTTTTCAAAAAACTCTAACCTCTTTCCATTAGTATATGCATGAACACCCACATGTACACATGAACACCAACAACCAATTGTGCAAGTGTTATGAATTGTAACAAAAAATGCTGGATAAATTGTATCACATGTTGGTATGTACACCCAGCTCAAATTTCTGTAAAACCTGCTACTTATAAGCCAGTATTCAAGATGGCCATTAGCAGAAGCCCTAAGACCCAGGATCTTGAATCTAACAATATGACCTACCAGCTGAGCTAAATGACTCAACTGTTTGAGCTAACTCCTCATATAAGTCATAGAATCAATGATTCTGTGTGTGGTGCAGTAGGGACAGATAGTCACATGTTATAGGGAAACACAGGCAGACAAATGAAGACTACATTTTAAAAATTTGACCCTCATAATTTAGGTTAGTTCAACACATTTAGGAAGAAATTAAGTCTTAATGCAAAATAGAACATCTTTATTAAGATACTTATTCCATAAAGTCTCCAAATAATTACTGTATATTCTGTAGCAGCTGTTCATGATAGGCAAATATTCAGTATGCATAACATTTGCAGCTGGATAAAACAAGGCATTACTTATCAATATTGATAATTATCTTATTGCCATGCATTGTAGAATTAAAATGTGGACATTTGAAAACACAGTGAGGGGTTACAGGATGGAGCTACAACATTGGACCGCAAGGCTCAAAGTTGCAAGGCAATAGCCGTGATTATGTTAGGCTTCATATTGCATGTAACTGCAAGAAAAATAATTATGAAAAAAAATCAAAGTTTTTCCTGGTGTGATTTTTGATGGGATATAATTTAGAAATTACCAGATCCAGCCTGGCAATGTATTAGCCTTTTTTGAGCCATGCAACTTAATATGTTATGTTACACAGGATAACAAAACAGACAGATTAGACTCAACGGCAAACATGGAGTATTTGGAATTAAGCAAATAAGAGACAGAAGCACGTACCCATTTTTCAACATCAACTAGCTGTGGAAAGAAAAAGCAATAAATCAGTAAACTATGTCTTTGAATATAATGTTCCACAGTTTACTTTAACGTTTCACTTTTTTTGGAATGGGTAAAATCTATTCCCCCTCTCTATGTTCTTTCTTCTTGCGTATGCCAAAAACTTTCTTTTTGAATAATAGTTCATGAAATATAACATTTTAGAGGCCTAAAAACTCCATCCAAAAGTCAGATTACAAGATTAAGACTGGAGTTGAATGAAACCAATGTTATATTCTACAAAAACTGTCTAACCACATCCTAAAAGCACCAGACACTCACGCTAAAAAGTCTATGGATTCACTCCTCCTTATACTTAGCCATACGAGAAAACAATTCAGCTGAGTTGTTCCAATGGCTTTAGCCCAAGGTTTGCCATTTTAAGTATTAATGCAAGATAAAGATTGCAAAAGAAAAGGTTTATCAGCTGAAATATAGTGACAGAAACTAAAAGTGAATATTTGAATACTCCACCACATCAAAAGCAGCTTTGTACACGCAACATAAGAACTAGTGTAGTATCAAATGCGAGTCTTTTATTCCTAGTAAGCATTAATCTTTCATAAATGGAGACTGAAAGTTCTTCTCTATAGAAAGGACTTGTACAGACAGCTGTAAAGAGACAAGGACTTAAATTGTGCACAATTTCTGTGTCAAAATATGGAGGCATAATGTGCATGTGGGTAATTTCATGGATGCACCTACTTGAATGCATGACACTACATACTATGGTAAATCCTTCAGTTCCTACTGCGGCCAAATCCTGCAGCCCTTCATTCTTACTCAGGGAAAAAATCATCATTCAAGTATATTACATCCACTGCTTATTTTAAGGGAATTGCCCAGTTTGTACTGTGATATAAGTACTGGAATGCTTCCAGCAATGGCTGCTGATGTGAGAGCTATAATAGTAAAATTTGTCTCTATAAGTTGCAATATTGATATCCATGTTGGTGTATCTCTACTCATGTCATAGTAAGCTTTAAGTTTTTTCTGTCCCTTTTAATAAATATTAGCAGGGGGAGATATCAGTAAAGTAAACATTTTCTAAATGGGAGCCTACATTTATGGTGTTAGGTCTCAGCTTTAGACACTTAGGCCATAGGCAGACATAACATTTGAAGCAATCCAAATA